GGTAACACCAATTCTGTGACAGTTTGGAATTGTACTTTTACACAGGTAACACCAATTCTGTGACAGTTTGGAATTGTACTTTTACACAGGTAACACCAATTCTGTGACAGTTTGGAATCGTACTTTTACACGGTTAACACCAATTCTGTGAAAGTTTGGAATTGTACTTTTACATGGGTAACACCAATTCTGTGACAGTTTGGAATTGTACTTTTACACAGGTAACACCAATTCTGTGACAGTTTGGAATTGTACTTTTACATGGGTAACACCAATTCTGTGACAGTTTGGAATTGTACTTTTACACAGGTAACACCAATTCTGTGACAGTTTGGAATTGTACTTTTACATGGGTAACACCAATTCTGTGAGTGTAAATGTAGAAAGGTATGTGTCCCCATACAGCTTGTTGCTGAACTGAGTTAGTAGAAATATCAGGTTCTCATCAGTGTGTGTTATGTCTGAAGACAAGGCAACCTCTAGAATCAAGATTTGTAATCCACAGCAGTATACAACATTTTAACACAGTACTGTTAAACTAGCATCATCTATAAAAGTCAGCTGTATAAAGATTTCAGATAGCTTATTTTTAGTCTACAGCTCACGACGGAAGTGTACCGTAGTTCAACTAGGTTTAGTATTTGGATTTATGTAAAACTAAGATAGTAAACTGATTAAAACATGACAATTATTGTGCCCATAATAACAAAAATCAGCTGAGCACTAAAGTTTCATATATCTATCCATGCTACAGGAAGGCAAACAAATTCAATGTTTTTGGATCTTAAGAGGCTTAATTCAATCATGCAAGAAGCTGGGTATAAGCAAGGACCATAACTAATCATGGCCTAATATATATCATAAGCCTTCATAGTTTAAATGACTGATTTTGTATTTCACTGTTGATATTATAAAACTGAGTAAAAAAAGAAATATATATATATACGTGTGGATTTCATCTTTTAAACAACAACATAAATGTAGAGCCTTAGGCATAATTTCCTTCTAATTGTATTTTATTAAGTGTCTTTTTACCAAGTTTTATCTTTTACTTCACTCCTACAGAAGTGTTTTAATTTACCAAGTTTTATCTTTTACTTCACTCCTACAGAAGTGTTTAATTTACCAAGTTTTATCTTTAACTCCACTCCTACAGAAGTGTTTTAATTTACCAAGTATTATCTACTCCACTCCTACAGAAGTGTTTTAATTTACCAAGTTTTATCTTTAACTCCACTCCTACAGAAGTGTTTAATTTACCAAGTTTTATCTTTAACTCCACTCCTACAGAAGTGTTTTAATTTACCAAGTATTATCTACTCCAATTCTACAGAAGTGTTTTAATTTACCAAGTATTATCTACTCCACTCCTACAGAAGTGTTTTAATTTACCAAGTATTATCTACTCCACTCCTACAGAAGTGTTTTAATTTACCAAGTATTATCTACTCCAC